TCACTTGGTAGCCCAGGCTGGCCTCGAACTCACAGAGATCTGCCTGGCTCTGCCTCCCGAGTGCTGGGATTAAAGGCGTGCGCCACCACCGCCCGGCTTATTCCAGCATTCTTAATAACTCTTTAAAGAACATAAGACGTTACTGAATAAAACTGGGTCTGTGCAGTGAAAAATAGTGACTTTTAAAAGAACTGGAATGTTGCTTATGAAATAGGAATGAGCGTATAATCTCTGTCTGTCTCTGTGTGTGCAAGCTATCATGAAGAAAGATGACTTATTAGTTTCTTGCCTTGATATGCTTAGTGTTTCACTCTAACTTTAGATGTTACTTTTCCTGTCGTACCATGTTCAGAAAGCACTGCTGAAAGCAACTTAGAGTCATTCTTGGCATTTATTTGGTAGAAAGTAGTTAATGTTTGTAGGAGTATTCACTCGTAAGGTCTCTGTGACTCTTGTGTCCCAAACATTAATTAAAAAAAAAAATGTGTTGGAAACATCTTCAATTCATAATTATTTACCATCACCACCCTTCTAAAGCTAAGCCTCACTATGGGCCCAAGTGGGCCTTAAACTTGGGATCTTCCTGCCTCACCCTACAGAGTGGAAGAATTATCTGTATGTTCCACAATATTTATCTTAATTTTACTTTAGTGTCTTGTCTGCTTTATTTTTGGGAATGGATTACTAGTACATTTGGATGCTGTATGCTATTTTAGCATTTTGATATTTTAATTTTAAAATTTTAAAGCAATTGTCATAATGTTCATTACATTGTACAAATTTGTACATTTTTAACTCTTTCAGAATTAGGGTGGGTTTTTTTTGGCTGTTGAAAAATGTCAAAATAAAGGTATAAATAAACATTTTTTTTTCTTTTTTTAACCAAGCCTTGACTTTTATTATTTAAAAAAGCTGCATATTTATTTAGCTTTCTGACTGTACTTGCACATTCAACATTTTCACAGCAGTTTTCTCCTGGAAAAGGGAAGCCCACTTGATCTTGTCATGGACACATTTGGCACACGTAGACCTACTGTAGGCCCTGCTGACGTGCTTCTTTGTCTTAGACATTTTCATAAGGACTTTCGGTCTCACAGCACGAACTCCTTGAGGTCTGCCCGGGCACACACCACATGTGGATTTAGATGCTTTCCCAACCTTGGTATGAAAGTAAACAATACTATTGCCAGTGGTTTGAGACAGCTTAGTTTTGTTCGAGGCTGTATTGTAGGAAAGTCTACGAGGGTATGTCAAACACTGGACCATTCTGAGTGCCTCTAAGCACTGTCCCTGGAAGAGAAAAGGCCATATTTTGTTCTTTTGAATGCTTCCTGTCCTTCCCAGGGAAGGTTTAGGACTAGAAGAGTGCCTTTTTATTATTTTAATTATTTTTACATTTATTTATTTGTGTGCATGTGCTATAATACATGTGGAGAATTACTTGCAGGAGTCAGTTCACCATGTGGATCCTAGGGATCAAACTCAGGTCCTCAGGCTTGGCAGCCAAACCTTTATTCTATAAGACATCTGAAAGCCCCCCCCCTTTAAAACAAGTTAAAAGTTTTAATGTAATTTTATAATATTCTTCCCCTCCCCAAAGTCCTTCCAAATCCTGTCCTAGCCTCCCAACTTTAAATTCTTTCTTAAAAAGACAAAAACCCAGTACAACAACAAGATCCTCCAAGACCAAGAAAACAAATAAAACTAGAAAAAAGAAATACCAAACTGTAACCAAATAAAAGAACACACACAAAAAAAACTGTGGAGTCCATTATATGTTGGTCAGGTACTCCTGAACATGAGGCCTGTGCTGGAGTGATTTGGAGAAAACGATTTTCCTTCTCCCAGCAGGTGTAAGTTTTCCAGTTTAGTAGTGAAGCTTTGCCCTAATAGCTAGGTTTTCCATCCATTCATTCATTCGTTTTTTGAAAATAAAAAAAAATTAGAATAAGATAAAACAAAACAAAAACTATCATATCAAAGTCAGATGAGGCAGAAGGAAGGGTCCAAGAATAGACAACAAGTCACAAGGGTCAGAGACCTACTTGTTCATATACCTAGGAATCCCATAAAGACACTAAACTGGAAGCTATAATACATACTCAGAGGACCTGGTGCAGGCCATGTACATGCTGCTTCAAGTCTCTGTGTTCATATGAGCATTGATCATGTTGATTTAAAGTGCCTTGTTTCCTTGGTGTCCTCCATCCCCCACTGAGCTCTGAGGTGGGATGATTTGATGGAGACATCCCATTTAGGGCTGAGTGTTCCAAGGTCTCTCACTCTTAATGTCTGGCGATGAGTCTATATTTTGTTCCCATCTGCTGCTGGAGAAAGCTTCACTGATGATAGTTGAACAAGGCATTGGTCGATGTATGTAGCAAATTATCATTAGGAGTCATTTTAACACCACTTTTTCTTTCCTTTTTTTACACCAGCGTTACTTGGTTTTACCCTAGGTCTCTGGGCTATCTAGTCTGAGGTTCTTGCTCACCTAAGCAGTGTTGGGTATGGGTTCCGTCTCATGGAGTATGCTTTAAGTCAAATCAGATATTGGTTGATTACTCCCACAATTGCCACCATTGGCCCTAGCATAGCTTGTGAACAGTACACCATTGTAGATAAAGGATTTGTGGCTGGCTTGGTGTTTATGTTTTAAATATATTAATATGCCTATTCATTGAAGGCTTACTTGCTTACTGCCTTTGGGTATTGAGTATGTGGTGTG